TACATATATTTTCAATATCTTAATAAAGGCGTTACTTCCGTTATGATGTGAGCGTGAAAATAGGGTACTGTTACAGTAATGCTATAGCAAACAGCTCCCTTGTCACTAGCTAGGTCAGGGTGTTTAAGCTAACGAAGGTTACATTGCACTTCATGGCGTAAAAAAAAAAAAAAGATGACATAAAAGCTTACCGTTATGGGACAAAGGCCAGAAACTGTCATTCAATCAGGAGCCCGGTTCGCCGAGTGAAAAACGACTGACAACGTCAATAATATGACTAGCAGGCTAGCTGTGGTTTGTAGCAGGTTGTTTAAATGAAAGAGATGCAGGGCCTGGTGGGCTCCGATGTCAACCGTTCATGTAAGTCAGGTCCCTTGACAAGAAGGCTCTGGAGGCTTGTTATTTTCTAAATATTCTTATTTCCTCTTTGTATTGACACGCACTGTGTACATAAACAGTGATGAGCGCATCAGTAGCGTCCAGTGCCAAAGATACAAAAGCGAGACGATTGACAGCTCCCAGACTGCACTGCAGATTAGCTGTACGTCCAACCATAGCGTCCTACTGCTCCCTTCCGCATGGACGTCTTCCGCCTCTCGCCTGCGTCAAGTTACCTGTGACATTTCCCGTCAAACTCGGAAATAGTGAAACTTTTCTTTCAAAATAAAAGTTGACATGTTTAAATTGTAATTACTGTCCTTATACTTACATGAAACAAAATACAATTTTACGTGAACACTACGTGGTAGTCATGGTGATTAGGAATGACGTAGTGAGCTGTGCAGATACAAGTAGATTAATTCCACATGTCTTCATTCTAAACCTGAACACTGACCTGAACAGCTGCATCTCTGTGTACAAATAGGAAAACAAAGTGATACATTCTGCTAAAAAAAACAGCCTCTAAACGTTGGAAATCTGTCCAAAAAATGGCTGCTTTACACCGAGAGGAAATCCTGCTTAATTTACAGACCATTTTGCTGGACAATGGCCATGGGAAAAAAAAATACAGTAGACATTTAAGCTATATTTCACTTTAAAGTTACTAAATTAAGCCTGATTCAGTATGATATAGGCCAATGTGTTTGTCAAGTTATTAGATTTAGTTTGGCTGGAAATATTCCCTCATTCACCATCAAACTTTTCCACCTGTAGTTTCAGTGTAAAGTCAGAATAGTTCATTTAATGTAATAAACATTAAGTTAGCAGCTAGATTTTTTGTTAATATTAATTTAGTGATCATATACTGTATATTAGTGATTAAGAAACACATCAATCTTGAGTCTGTGAACTAGGGTCGTTGAGTAAAGATAGAAAAATACTTACATTTTGATGGTGATTGCATGGGCCATTTCGGAAATTCTAGAAGTTCAGAATTCAGGCCTCCATGAATATTGGTGCCACAGTAGTAATATGTAGATAATTTACTGTATAGGGATGGCCTCGTCCTTAGAGAGTTATCGTGTAGTTTCCTATAGGATAATGAAAACGGAATTACTCTAATAAACTCATAAATGCTTTGAAGGAATGCGTGAAAGAGGTTTATACACGTAAAAACATTCATGTATGATTAATGTTATTATAATCCGCATATACCATTTTTATTTTTGTAAATTCATTGGTGATAAACCATGATATATTGCCTTTAGCAACAACTTTTACAAACATTACATTCTTTCAAGTTAACACACAGGATGTTGCATCTTATATTATAAGAACTCAATTACAAAAGTGACAGCATATAGGCTTACATTTGACTGATTGTAATACATTTGATCAAAAGACCTTCTTAGTCACAAAAGTCCCCGATACAGTTGTGATGCGCTCATATCTCAGAGAAATATTTAAAAGGTTCTTCTTTGCAGGTAATAAGTGAAACATTGTTTAAACGTTTCATTGTAAGAGAGGCAAACAGCCATTATGAAGGATATTTGAATGGATCACATGTCACTTTACCAAGTCCTAAAATCCAACAGCACAACATGACAATGAAAAAACAAAAAGACAAATAAATCTGACAGCTGTGACACTTTTTACGCAAAAAATTGCTGGGAAACTTGTCAAATAAAGGCATGAACTGGCCATCCATTCAAGTTGTCTTTATCGGTCTTTGCAGCTTTGATGGAAGTTATTATGCACACAGACTTTACTTAGTAGACTTTTCTTAGTTTGTCCACTGCAGCACAGTGCAAGTGTCAACCTGCACTGTGAACCAAAAATGGACAAACGCTGAACGTTTTTTCTTCTTCTCATTTAGCTGAGCTGCCAATGCCAGGACCGGTCCTCCAGCTGGGTGTCAAAAACTTGAGGAACAGTCAACTGAGCGCCTTTAACATCGACTCCATGAGCGACTCGGTCCTCAGTCTGTACCACAGCCTCATTACCGGATCCAAGGACTTCCCTATGATCGGTTATGGAGGAACCATGAACTACAACAAGGTTTCCTCACCCTTTCCCGTTCCCAGACATGTGGAGAACACCGAGCCCTCTCCTTGGACGGTTGGGCCAGCAGGTGTGATAGTTCCTCCTGCAGGATCCACCTCCTCCCCCCTTACTATGCTGACTCCACCACTGCCTGAGAGGGCCAACATCTACGCCCTGAGAGCAGACCCTAGGAACTGTGTCCGCCAAATGGAGTACGAAGGCATTACCTTCACGAGGGTCATCTCTACCGTGTACCGCTCCGAGAGCACCGAGATGAACAACCGCTGGAGAGTGACCGACTACAGTGCAAACAGACACGTTAAGATGTCGGTCCTCTGCCAGTTCATCAGGGAGTCTGCATGATGTGCAAAGAAACCTTTAAAGAGGAAAAGGATGGCTACAGATGAGGAAACCACAACCAGCAGCAGCCAGTCTCGACCAAACAAACGTCTAAGACTGTAACTAATTCGGTGGAAACTATGAGGGGTCTCTTGAGATAGGAGCTCTCTCAAATACTGCTGCAGCCTTGAACAGCAGATAACATGTATTTTATTTATTAAACCCTTGAGCAAAAAACTCATGTAACCTTATTTAAAGAATATGGATCATCATTAGCCACTACAAAGCTAAAGATTCAGTTTGGGTTAGCAATGAGAAGACCCATAGCACAACTTCAGGAACAGTGTCCAAACACCACTGATCCAACAAAGACAGGCAGGTCGTCTGGGTACAACCGGCCTAACGAAAAGGCAAAAAAAAGCAGGAAAGATACGGTAGAGACTGAGAAGACATTGCACATGCACTCCTCTCCCACCTGAGGGAAACAAAGTCAAGACCAGAGAAGTTGCGAGGATGCAGGACAGTGTGCTTTGGGAACTTTAAAAGGTGAATAGGCCCATACATCTACACTGAAAAAAGTGTTGACTTTTATTAAATGTATTATGTCAACAGATTTCACATGACTGTATTAGGTTAGTTGAAAGCAATAATATTAAGTTGAACCTAATATATTTTTTATTTAAATGTAATATTATTGCTTTCAACTACTAACCTAATGCAGTTATGTGAAATAATTTGTTTTAATTAAAGGCAACAGGTGTATTTTATGATCTAACTCTCCTGTACGGATGGATGGTTCTTCTGGCTATTTAACATGTTTGATTCAGTACAAGGAACCTTTAAAGTTAAATCAATATGTATTTAACGTGGTGAGGTTTAATAACCTGGTCTTTCTTTGTTAATTTCTAGTGATGTCCTCCTCAATGCTGCAGCTGCACATCAAAGACCGTTTACCGTCTTGACTTGAAGATGAAGACCGTGAGGCGGGCAGGAAAGATAATCCCCCCCCCCCCGCCCCGCCACACACAATACTGTCTATCTGTCTATCTGTCAATCTGTCTCTGCATCCCAATAAAACCTTAGAGACTTTATCTCTCATTGAATTGCTTTGTAATACTTGTGAACTTTTGCACATGCTTTGCACAATCTTACACATTTCTTCCAAATAACTACCACTGCTGTGAAATGCACAGCTTTTTTATCTTTATTTAGATCATGTGAATATTTGTATTGTATGTTTTCATGCAGTGTGCTTTTTTTATAACCAATATTCAGTTTACTTGATCTTATTTTTTCAGGAATAAGGGGTCTAATGTTATATAATGACAAATGACTACATATTATATTAAATGATGATATAATAATATAATATATATGTCAAAGCGTGTTACCTCTGAAATATTTCTCTAATAAACTATGTTTCAAAGGACAAGTTACAGTGTTTGTTTGCATATGTCAGAGGCTGATAACAAACTGTAAATTCACCATTTGTTAGGATCTGTTATGTGAAAACAGTAATACCGATATTTTCATTTCACTAAGTTAAACTAACATAATATTATTTTGCATGTCATAAAAATATTATGAATGTGAAATATTTGTTTTTATTTCCTCAACTGACAGAATGTAAGTGAAGATCATTGTTAACTAATTAGGCGTAGTGTGTCTTGCTTTCTTTGATTTCCATTTAAATGTTACTTTGTTCTTCTCCCAAACTACACTTCAAATGTATGTAGTCCCTTTAGTTATTTTGCAGATTGTTGATTAATAATCAACAATATGATCAACGCTTAAATAAGACTTTAGTGACACCTTGTTTTAATTCACATGCTACCCAGCAATACAAGTATACAATTAAAATTAGATCCACCTTTACCAGCTTGACAAACACATCAATAATTTTAATTAAAACATATACATGATTGTGAAATGGGCCAATCTGAATAATGAGTAATAATGAGATACTTTTAGTATATTTTGATGCCAATACTCTAGTACTTTAACTTGAGTACAATTTTGAATACAGGACTTTTACTTGTAACAGAGTATTCTTACACTGTGGTATTTTTACTTTTACTTCTGTACAAGATCTGTGTAGTTCTTCCATCTGTGTTTATCAATTATTAACTATCAATGACAAATAAATGTGAAGAAATAGTTGGAGGCCTACCTTTTTACATTTTGAAATGTCTGACCGGATGCTTTCCCCCTAACTATAGTGTACTTTACACCGGCGCTGTCGTCACGCTGCAGACTGATAGCATCCTCTGATTCCACTAGCTGTTTGAATCAGATACATGTGATTTTACGTGTGTATCTCTCTATGCTAAAAAGCTACCCAGAGCCCGCTAGCTAGCCTACTCTAAGTTTTTTATTAGCGTATAGTTTATTTTGTATTATTTCTTAATATTGGCTGGCTGAATGGCAGACTTTGAGAAGGCATCCAGAACACATGGAGTTGGAGTCTTCTTAGAGCTGAGGAAAAGGCTCCAGAGTGGACTGCTTATCGTCGGGTAAATGTTGCTGATAGAAAGCTAGTGAGCTAACCAGTTACAGTTATATTACATTAGTGCACCGTTATGTTTACAATGCAGGCTAGGCTAGCTAATAGCATTAGCTAATGTCGCATGCATTTACCCAGTACATGTGAACTGATGCTGGACTTTCTCAGTATCAGACAACATTAGAAATACTAACTGGGCTTAACATTGGTTTCCTTTTATATATCCTAAATAATCAATACAAGTAAAAATTACACGGTGAAAACTGATTTTGGCAACATAAATCATATCAATTGTAAAACGTAATGTTTCTCAAGTAAGCCTACGATATTGAGGTAGGCCTATGTGTACTCAGTGGTGGAAAGTACATTCACTCAAGTATTGTACCTAAGTACTTGTTTTGACATACTTTACTTAAGTATTTCCATGTATTGCTACCTTGTACTTCTACTCCACGATATGTCAGAGGTGAATTTGGTACTTTTTACTCCACTTTATTTACTTTACAAAGGACTCACAGTTACTTGTAGCCTACACATACAAACACATGATATGCTGATCAAATATAATGCAGTACTGTAGCCTACTACTAATCTATTTTAGTTTGGTCCAAATTGACCAACTACGATACTAAAATGCTCTTACATGTATACAAACAGGATATAATTATAACTATAGTAATATAATACTATGAAAAGATCCATTCTGATTCTGAACGTACTCGCTTTTTCTTTTATACTTGATACTTGAAATACATTTAGCTTTGCAGGTCTCCCTTGAAAAAGAGATCTATGATCTCAATGGGACCAATCTGGTTAAATAAAGGTTTGAAATGAAATGAGCTGATAATACTTCTGTACTTTATATTATTCTGAAACGGGTCATTGTGCTGAATGAGTATTGCTATTACTTTTCTACTTTTACTTTTCTACTTTTACTTAATTAGAATTTTAAAATTGGAAATCACACATGTTAAATACATACCTACTATTATTATTATTATTTATTACACCTTTATTCCTTATTCCTAAGTATGTATGCTGCGTGTATTTGTTGTCTTATGTTGTGATTTTGTTTTGATGGCACCCTTGAAAGGGAGAAGCATTTATTATCTCATTGTACATGTATAATGACCAGTGCTTGAATTGGAATGAAAAAGGTGCCAGTACTCTAAAATCAGCAACTTTTTCAAGTCAATTTTATATATACAGCCCACAAACAAGAATTTGGCTACTATAATGCTGGTGGGTTTGTCTCTTTACTACTGTATATTTTAGAAAGGTTCACTGTACTTAACATTTTTTATGATAGGCAGCGGATATGGCTAAAGCTCAGTAAGGTCAATATTAACTGAAAATATAGCAATCAAAGTCTAGATCTTCTGCTGAAGACACATGAAGCAGAGACCTTTCAGGTGAGAGCCCCTCTGGTGGTGTTCAACATTAATGACAAGGAAACAAAGCTCTGGTCAGAAGCATTTTTTATAAAAAGCTTTAACAAAATTAAGTATTTCTGTACATTTTGAATGCAATCTAACTTTCCAACTCAGAAAACGAAAAACGAAAAAGTGCCAAAAGTCTTCTCACATGGCTGAGCTGCTTTGCAATATACTTCACCACTGAAGAATACAAATATGTATAAAGTAAACTATGATGCAATCTAACTTTCCAACTCAGAAAAATGATAAAGAGCATGAACAAAGAACATGTAAAAACAAATGCAAAATGTGCACAATCTAAAATGAGAAACTGTAACTGCAAGTAACAAAGTCTGAGCCATGGTAAAGAGTTACATTGAACACCAAGTTGATCAGATAACTCCCTGGTTGGTCTGAAGTCCTTCTATCTCCAGGATCTGTACAAATCGGCACATTATGCCAAAAGTCTTCTCACTGGGTGAGCTGCTTTGCAATATACTTCACATTGTTAGAAAAGGCTCCAGAAGGCCTTGGGGACATCAGTATCAGGGGCTGGAGCTGGACAGGCTCTTTCATCAGCACTTCTCCTTCCCTTTGCCAGCCAGGACCTCACATACTGTTCCGGATTGAACTGTCCTAGTGATGGTCCATTACATTTAATGAAAACCAGGCTGGACAGTCGGCTGACAGAGAGAGCATTCCTTTTTGCAGTAAGGATATCGTTCATGCAGCTGAATGCCCGCTCACACTCACTAGTGGAGACAGCGATGGTTCGGACTGCTTTCAGTAGAGGCTCCATGGCAGCAGGTGTACGGGATGCCCTGGTTTCCTTGTATTCGCGAAAGCCCTGAACAGTCTCTCTTCTGTCCACTTTCAGCACTTCGCACAAACGTAGCACCTCTACGTCCCCATACTGTACGTCTAACTCCTCTTCAGGCCAACTTCCAGGATGGATAACTTTCATGTCCTGGATTAGCTGATTGTCCCGGGCCTCCCGGCCATGTAATGGGATTTCTCTTGTGCTGACATGAGAGGAGGTTGTGGAAGTCATTCTGTGTCTCAGATTCTCTACCATACTGCGGAAAAACTGACCTGCATGAATCTGTACAAGCCTGCCATTCTCACGCAGGGCAACACCCTTGAAGGACTTCTCAGCTAGAGCTGTATGAACTGTAGTCATGTGTGGGCCAGGCATGGTGACCATGGATTCAAAAACTCGTATTTCTCGAGTTAAGAGCCTATCTGCTGTAGGCAGTGTCATCTCTCTTTTTTGGAGTTGCCGAGAGAGGTCGCTGAGCTCTGTGAGCGCATCGTACATCAGTCCCAGATTGCTGACAAACGTTGCAGATGTGAGCACATCATCCAGGCCCTTGTACTTTGCTCTGTCTCTGGAATCCCTGCTCGTGTCGTTTGCAGCATTTGTGAAGTGATCATGAAGCACTCTGTAGTTTTCCCAGACTGCTCTGACGCTCCTTTCACTTGAAGCCACCCAGCGGATGGACAAAACACGCCCTATCACCAGGAGACGCTGTCCGACTGCTTGCGCACACTGCGCTAACTGCCTCTGATTTTTGGGGGAGGCATGGAACAAGGAATAGAGTTTGTCAAAAAAGATCTGGAAATGATTGAGCCCTGAGACCTCCTTGACCACATCCCCAACTGCCAGCTCTAGACGATGATTGGAGCAGTGCCACACAAACAGGCTTGGGAATTTACTACACAACTGGGTAGCAACGCCTGTTCTCTTCCCTAGCATGACTGAAGCCCCATCACATGCAAAAGAAACGAAACACTGACTTAAAAAGTCCCTCGTTAAAATCTCTTCCAAGACACTCCATTAACGCCTTTGTGATGTCATCAGCCGTTGTTCCATCCAACTCGATCAGCTCCCAAAAAAACGTTTCGGGCTCAGCATCAGCTAATGCTGAGCGTAGACACACAACAAGCACCGTTTTACCACTAATAGTGGTAGATTCATCGACCAAAACACAGTTTTCTTTGGTTTTCTGTAATGTCTTTTGCCATTTTTTTCTTCAGCTCATGAGCTATGTGGTCGATGATTTCGCCACAGGTTTTATTGGAGTGCAAAACCCTGCCCACATTCAGCCCATTCAGTTTCTGTACATTCAAATCAATTGGCATGTCTGTGAATGGCCGGCTATGTTTGCCAATTTTATATGCCGTTCGAAAAACTCTGATAGTGGTGTCTAATTCAGATTTATGCATAGACTGCACTTGATGTTGAATAGTTTCACGTGAAGCAGATGTAAGGATGTCAGCAGCTTTTACATGGGCTTGTGATTCTTTATGTTCTTTGATTTTTTTTCTCAGGCTAGCTTGTTGTTTGCCCTTGTCAACACCGAAATGAGACACTGCACACTCACCCCATTCAGTTGACAGTTTCAGTCCTTGTCCAGTGTGTATTCCCAAAGATTTGACATCTCTGCATATCCGACATCCTAGCTTCTTATCTTTAAGAAGGAGCCATGCATTGGTCTTGCAAAAATATTGCACCTGGTCCGTTGTCCAGCAGTCAGGTGCATCGCTTTGTCCGGTGTTGGTGGTGGCCAGCAGCAGCTAACGTTAGAGGCTCTGGAGGAGGCGGCGGAGCTAGTGCTAATGCTAATGCACTAGAACTTGGAGCAGGAGGATCAACCAAAGAAAGCTCCCCATCAGACACCATTTCCAACACAGGCACAGCATTCTCTGTATTTTAAGTTTCTTCCGGCGACAACCGCTGTCTTTTTGCACTTTTATTAATCCACGCTAACATTTTAGAAATGCTAATTTGTGACGTGACTTGCTTTCCTTCTCTCGGGGGCGTGCCTGCTCTGTTCTATCACTCTACATAGCCACCCACTGGGTGGGAGTTGCACTGCATAAACACAACACACGTGCATCTAGGTATGTAAATTGTAAAGCATTAAAACATGGTTTTACTAACAGTTTTCAGTATGTTGTTACTTCGGCATTATTATTATTATTATTATGAAACGTGTATTACTATTAAATCACGGTCAAATAGGTTAATTTTGACATAGTCGTTTCCACCACAGTATTTACATGGAGAAGATAAGCCCCGCCCCCTCTCCAGCACGTTCTGTTTGAATGACAGGAGTAAACAGCTGACAGCCGCTGTGAAACTCCAGCGGTTAGAGCGATGAGAATGTCCGTTCGGCACCTCATGACGCATCTACTGAGTACGGGGCGGCTGTATATATATATATGGATGTATAATAAGAACGGCGGGAGAGTGTTGAGTACTGGCACGGTGCATGAGTACCGGAGTACCGCCAGCATGCCGGTACTGAGCAAGAAGTGCCGGTACTCCATGGGTCAGAACCAGAAGTGCCGGTACTGCGTACCGGTGAGTACCGGCCCAATTCCAGCACTGATTAATGACATTAAACGCTTCTATTATATTCTAGTGGCGTATTTTAAGACCATAGTATGTTACTTTTATTTAAGTGAAGGATCTGAGTACTTCTTCCAACACTGTGTATGCCTGCTTTAGTATTTCCTTTTAAATGCTACTTTATACATGTACTCCTGAATTAGGAGTTGACATATTATATTTGTTTACTCCAAATACGTGTTTGTCATCCATAGTAACTAGATACTTTCAGATCGAGGTTCCCTGTTGAGACTTTGAGATTTCAAAGTCAAAACAGCGTTTTTATATTATTATCAATGAATTTACTATACGTTAAATCTGTAACATAAGGCGCATTCACACTGCGGTACTTTTCCCACAAAGGTTCATGTGAATTTAGTTCATGTGAACTCTTTTATCGCGTTCACACCAAAAAGAGCCGGTACTAAAATTAGTTCATGTGAACCTTTTTACCCCCACGAAAGTCCCTGGGGGGTAAAACTAAAGAGTTCACATGAACCTTTCAGGCGCATTCACACTGCGGTACTTTTCCCACAAAGGTTCATGAGAATTTAGTTCATGAGAACTCTTTAGTTCTCATGAACTAAGTACAGATCGCGTTCACACCGGAATAAATCCCTGGGGGTGGATTAGGCAAATGAAGCCGCTGATGTCACTTCTTCTTCTTCTGCTTTGGGTTTACTGGCAGGCCGCAAACCACTTCACGGCGTATACTGCCGCCCAAAGTCCCCGGAGTTGGAGACTGGCTTCAGTAGAAACTGCTGGGACTCCCAGCAGCTTCTACTGAAGCCTTCCGAGTAAATCGCCAGAACGCCGACACCTCCTCATCTCCACCACTCCCATGTTTTATTTTGTGTTGCCATAAATTAGTCTCTCTGCGTTTCTGCGCTGGGCTAATGCTAATGCTAATAATGTTAATGCGAGGATAATAAAATGGCGGCTTCACAAAACTTTTTGGGAGTTTTACGGGGCGTAGTTTGCAATCCGCCCAGCTAATCAGAAATATAGGTCTTTTCTCACAAGAGAGCCGCTCGAAAGTCCCTGCTCTCTAGCAGGGACTTTCGTGGGGCTAAAAAGGTTCACATGAACTAATTTTAGTACCGGCTCTTTTTGGTGTGAACGCGATAAAAGAGTTCACATGAACCTTTGTGGGAAAAGTACCGCAGTGTGAATGCGCCTTTTGTGGGAAAAGTACCGCAGTGTGAATGCGCCTATAGAGCTGCGAAGATCAGACGGAGTGATTTGTTTTCTTTGATAAAAAGCACCTCTGCTTGCATACAGAGGATGTAGGACTCCTATAACACCACTAGGTGGAGTCATTGAGATGTGACGGCAGCAGAATCAGCCCTGGTCCTCTCCTGTATTTACAGAGGAGAGAGGACTCTAGTCTGTAAATAGCTGCACAGTGGGAGAAATCGTATTCTACCTCCATACCACTGCATGTCTATCTAATGTTCTATAGTTCTGAACTACACGAGAGACCAGAAATTGTAGAGCTAAACATGTCACACAAAAGGAGATGAAATAAAGGCATCCAACTAGGACTCCAACTAATCAAAAATGTTATCGAAATTACGAAGTGGACTCGTGCAATATCCAAATGGCTGTGAGTGTAATATTTGATAAAGGCAAAATATGTGAAAATATCATTCTGAATGAAAGATTGTGATATTAGGAAGCTGCAGAGAAGTCCTGGCTACAAACGGTATTCTACAGACTTGTACAAAATCTCTACAGATTCTCTTAGAAAAATCTTTCTATCAGTTATAATAATCGCAATTAGTTATTTAAATTGTGCAGCACTCCCTCCAAACACACTATTGATCTTAGTTATGGTGTAAGATATAAAAAGGAAACCGACAATGTAAACAAAAGACAGCCCTATAAACACTTTCTCTTAGTTAAACCAGTGCTTCTCTCAGCTAGTGGTCTTCATGAACTCACTTATTATTCATGACCTATTTAACTGAGACAGCAGCACCCAGCAGGAGGTCAGGGATGCTATTCATAATTGTATAGCGTTATCTATTATATACTATTTTTGTATGATCTATTCACCTTTTGAAAGAGATTTTTGGTTTTGCAACATACAATATCACACAGGAAGATCTGTTATTCGTCAAGGTCTCAATAAAGTCATTATGTGTCAGACTTTAGTGCGGGACAGACTGCAGATAAATATATTATTATAATGTTATTAATACATATTCATTATGGTATGTAGCCAAGTTTTGTGACTAGTTAACTTATGCATCAAGTAACTACAATATTCTCCAGCTTCTAATACTTAACTAACGAGAGCTCCGAACATAGTGTTTACTGAATTGTTAAAAGAATGATTGAATAATTCTGGAAATCTGTTTATTTTGTGTCTTTCTGAAAGTTGGATTCAAAGACTGAAGGCACTCTGATGTCTCTCTGCAGACAGCAGGCTGTTAGCATAGCTTAACAAAAAGCTTGGAAACAGTTAGCTGGCTCTCTTCCAAGATAACAACATTAGCATGAACCTGTTTTAAATTGTAAGTTTGAGTGTTTTTGAAGTGGTGAGCATTATGGCGCGTTTCCACTGCAGCGGGTAGCTCGCTTTAAGCGTGCCGAGCCGTGCGGGGCCCGTTTTTGGTTGCGTTTCCACTTGGCCTAGTTTTGGCCCGGGGCTACTTTTTCACCTTTTTTCTGGCCCGACTAAATCGTGGTTCTAGGGCCAGGAACAACCAGGCTGAGTCGGGCTGAGTATGCTAAACTAGAGAGAATCGCTGGCAAGGGGGCTACAACTACAACAAGATGAACATATTTGACCGTGAATTAATTGTAATACACGTTTCAAAATGATGCCGAAGTAACAACATACTGATACCGGTTAGTAAAAACCATGAATTAATGCTTTGACAAGTCTGCAGACAGACGGCAGGTGAAAAACCCTTTTTAAAATGCGTGTTTTCTAAATGTAGCTTGGCTAAGCTAACGTTATATATGCTCCGACCGTCCACACTCACAACAACGGCCTATACAGACATAAATAAACCAGCGACTGTATTCGCCATTCACAGGCAGTCTGTGGTTTGTACTTGTTTAACTTTTGTCAAGTTTCTGAACAGATATGAAGAGCTGTGAGCTCTGAGTGCTAAGAGCTAACGGCTGTGTTGTTTTTCTGGGGCTCTCATTGAAGATGACGTCACGGCTCCGCCTACACTGCGTTACTATAGTAACTGCCCCAGTTCCTAAACTGTAATGGAAACGCAGCATTAAAGTGAGCCGGGCCTAATAAGGCCTAACCAAACCAAGCGAGGCCGAGAGAGGCCTGCAGTGGAAACGCGCCATTAGACTACTAGATAAATGAGACTTGCATTACACTGCACACGTTCTGTGAGAGTTTGTAGATGGATGTTTTTATATCATTTTGCTATTGTTGAACATTTACGTCAATGCATACATTTTCTCAGTTTTTCATTGCTCTTTCACCTTGGAGGCGTGCCAGATAAACACATTTCCTTTGAATTCGAGCCTTGAGTTGAATATAAGTAAATAATATGTGCAAATGCTTATTTTGGAGGTGAATTATCTCTTTAGGCTGAGCTAATTATTTCCTGGCTTATACTTAAAGGTGGGGTAGGTAAGTTTGAGAAACCGGCTTGAGATACACTTTTTGTTATATTCCATGGAATGCTCTTAACATCCCGATAGCAATGAATATCTTAAATGTGTTTATATATATATATAAAATGCTTTGACAAAAAATCCATAAAAAAAAGTCATCTGTGGAAGCCGTAGTACTGTAAAAAAGCACGACCAATCATCTGAGCCGGCCCGGCTAAAGTAACTGGATGGCCTACCTGCCTGTCCGCTTTCCATCTGTGCACAAACCTATCTCGTGCCCTCATTGGTCATGTGCACTTTCGTGTGTGTTGGAGGAGGAGCTCTGTGAGGAAGTGGCAGATTTTCTCCGGTTGTGTATTTTCAAATTCTAGCGCACTAGAGCTGGTTTCTCCAAAATTACCTACCCCACCTTTAACGTACATACGCGAGAAGTTATGATCTTCTTATCTAACTGTTGGCAAGGAAAAATATTTATAATTTGTGTCTATTTCTTGTGTATATTCCTGTGTGCATTTTTAAAGGTCACCTATTGTGCAACATCCACTTTTTCATGTCTTTTATACATCAACATGTGTCCCCGCCCTCTGTGTAAAGAGATTCTGGAAGTTCTCTCTCTTTCTGTCCTGATCCATTTACATAAAAACCTGTCTGCAAATGAGCTGATCAGATTTTGGCCACTTAATGATGTCATAACGGGTTTTTTGGATTGTGTAACCATTAGCCAATCACCAACCAAGGTAACCCCCCCCCCCCCCCCCTTATCACCTGAATCTCCTCCTAGAGCACCACTGAGTTCTTTTTAACCAAATATCTCTCAGAGGGGCGTGGGGAGGGGCTCCTTGTTTTCATCTAAAGTAACAGACAGAGAATCAGCACTTTTGAAACAGGGCTGAAACAGAGGGGATTATGGGATGCTACAATGATCTGTTTGGAGCCAAACACTTCAGAGACATGTTTGTATATATCTGAGACCTATAATGTATTGATGAAAACCGTATAATAGGGGACCTTTAAAGCATCTTCTCCCATCTGCTCTCCAGGAAAGATGTGGCCAGAAGTCCTGCAGACGTGGTGGTGTCGGGTGAATATTCTTCTCTCCTCGTGTTCACTCCCAGAGGCGAGCTGAGCCTCACTCTGCCTGCAGGCGTCACCTTAGAGCCAGGATCCTGCTTCCCAACACCCGCGGGAGAATCCTGCGGAGAGGAGCTGCATTTCAGGCTGCGCATCAATGTCAAGCCGAGCACGGAGGAAGGTAACGTCCAGGAATCACACCCAGTCACGTGTCTCCTCCCCAGGCTCTGTTCGACTCCTCTGTGCCAGCTCTTTTAGTAGCTATTTAAAGCTCTTTTCAGAATTAATTGGAGATGAGTCACTTGGTCATATGAGAGAGTGAAGGTGTACATTTTGCTCTACGGGTCCCCAATGTAATGGCACACAGGCGACTGATCACCAGAGTCATGAGAATATTTTCTTTTAACTTTTGGTTTGATCTTGAAAAGTGTCCCTTGAGTCGTTGCATAATATCCCCAAACGTCAGCTTTTTTTGTGTCCCGGTGCAAGAAACAGTTACAGCTAAGCCTGTCAATGACAAATCTGTCAATAGGGAATGGGTACCGCAGTGCATTCTGGGGCGCCGCGGCATCTGTGGAGAATAGCAGCGGTATCAGCTGTCTCCAGTCATCCGTCAGTGGTCTTCCATCCAAAATGAATAAAGTAAGCACGAAATATAACAACGGTAACATTAAAGTAAATGAATGACATCTGTCCGTTTAAGAGAAGAACGGGCTGTTCACTGTAACTGATGTTTGTGCATCAAGATGGATGTCTACACCTATCTGCAATTTAAATTAAAAAAAGGCTCACATCAAGTTAACAAACGGGGGATACAGGACCTTCAAGTCTATCTATAGAGTCATCCGGACAGAGGTAAGATAGCTAATATTATGCTAACTGAGTGCTACAATAACGTCCACTTATCATGTATTATTGCGTTTCCTTTTTTGGGCATGTTCATGAAAGATACTGTTTTGACTTGTTAAGGTTTGAAAACAATCAAATCTAAAGTGGAGAAAAAAGGTTAAAAGTCACGCTTCCTCTCCAGCCGTACAGGTTAAGATGATTAGGATGCATTCACTTGTATCCTCCAAAGATGGATGATTTGTCGTTGATTACGTCGTCACATTCCCATTCCCTATATCAGATGGATTGCCTGCTTTCGATCCAAACCACCCAGAATGGAATCGATTCTCTGCTCTCTTGTACCGCCCTTTCACAACTCATTTATTTGTTTGTTTGTGTCCCCTTCACAGAGGCTTCTGACAACGTGATGGAGACACTCCGGGCCAAAGAGACTTATTGCTTCCACTGCCAGGGCTGCATGACCAGGCTGCTGGAGGACAGGTGAGGAGCACACGGGCAAGCATCAGCGGAAATGGGTTTTTATTTAAACCCCCCCCTCCATAGGAAGAGGAGAAAAAATGATGGATGAAGCCGGAGCGGAGCCCTCATCCTGACTGGGTTAGCGTCGTCGAGTCAGTGTGACGTAAAGGGCGCCTACTCGTTAAAAAACAATTGTGTTTCTTACCTTGTGGCGGTTAAGCCGGTCAGTGGTATTGTTTTTATAGCTCTCCGCTTGTAGCTCTCTCTGGTCAGCAATGTAACATGCTGGAAATTGCAATAGGTATTAAAGAGACCCTCTGCCCCTGGTGATGTTTCCCAGCAATAACCCACTAAAATGTTTTTTTGTTGTTGCTTTCAACAAGGGCCTGGCCAAGTATAAATGTCAGTAGCAGTGGGATAAAATGAATCATTTTAACAATATGATGCCTCATGATCCATTCTTACATTTGGTCTCATGAAGGAAGCAATTTAAGAACCCATTTCCTCTTATTTTGTTCTTACCCACAATTTAATTAGAATGTTTATTATGTTTGGGTTAGAGAAAAGAATAGGAGTAATAAGAGCACTTCTACCAAGACAAGAAAAATATAGTTTTAATGTGAAATAAGCAATAAGGCCAAACGCCTCCTCTTTATGATCGAGTCAGATTCATCATTCAGCATATACACTCAGAGCAGATTTAGATTAGGTTTCTCATGTTTTCTCTTAAAGGTCACCTATTATGCAACAGCCAATTTGTCATGTCTTTTATACAGAAACATGTGTCCCCTCTGAGAGATTCGGAAAGATTCAGGAACAAATTATTCTCTCACTTTTTGTCCTGATCCATCTGTATACAAACTGAAAATGAGCTGAAACAGAGGGGTTTATAGTATGCTATCTGTTTGGCATTTCAGCCAAACACTTCAGAGACGTGTTTTGTATATATCTGAGACCTATAATAAGAGTAAAATAGGGGACCTTTTAACAGTACAATTTAAGAGAAATAAGGCTCCATTAGTTTCCTGCCAACATGTATTCACTGCAACCATCTAAGTACCCTCTAAAAGGTTTCTCAGTATAGCTTAAAACAATGCATACCAAGTACTTTACTGGAATGATTAAAAAAAAGTATCCTATCATAGCACTTCTCATCTTTTTTAAATATAGGTTATTTGGCATCTTAATTTAGCTTAATAATGGGGGGTAGAGGGCCGCATCCGCTCAACTACAAAGACGCTCCCACCACTGTTACGCAAAGTGGCTCTAGTGAGGCTCCTTGCTCACCGCGAGGTTTGGCGCAGAGCCTTGGTTACCTCTCCTGCTAGCTTACACCGCTTCATACAGCTGTTATCTGATTGGTTGCTCATTAGAGTCTAGTAGCTCATTGTTTTGGGTTTAGGCTTCAATGTTTTGGTTCAGTCTCACGGCTCTCATCGACTTTGTTACAGTCGCACAGAGCAGCCGTTTTAATTTCCAACAAAAGCTGTAGTTCTTTTAACCATGTGTTCACTACCTGCATTTAGCAGCTATGAAGCCAGGTTCTTCCTTCAGGAAATGGACACCAAAACATCTTGGACCTAAACTCATGAGGTGGGCAAAAACAAGTCTTCAAAAAATGCTTCATAATTAAAATTAAAATATGTGTTAGTAATCGCAACTTTGTTAGGTGCTAATAATATGGTAATGTTATGTTTAATCAGAATACTTGATTTATCCTATGTGGAAATTGGGTTTTGCAACAGCTGCTCCATTTTACAATAAAATACAAATAATATATTTATATAAATGTAAAAAGTCAAAATGTGAAATAAAAGGATAAATAAAATAGAAGAAATTGATTCATATAAACATAAAAAGTTAAATCAGAAATGTGCAATAAAAGGATAAATACAACATATTATATCAAAACAAAGAACCCGGAGTAAACGTTTGCACATTGTACAATAGACAACAACAATAAGTATGTAAACTTGTGTATATTACAACACATGCAGTGGTGTATTAGTATCTCTCGAGACAGTGATGCTGAATTGCTCATTTAAGACGGCCCTTGCTCCATGTTTACAGCTGGTTCTGCCTCACTGTTGAGATGCAAAACAACAGCTGCTTTCAATACTTTTATTATATAATTGGGAGATTAAAAAAATATCCTAACAAAATAATCCCATTATAAGATATTGTGAGTATGTCTCTGGTGTAATTTGGATACTTTCCTCAGGTTTCCTTCTTGTGTTTTTAATCATCTCCGGCCATTAGGGAACTCTTTGCTTATTAAGTAATATCAGCTCTCACAACAGAAACAGCTAATTGATGTCATTTCCAAACATCACTTGACAAAGATGGAAAGTAATTGTTTTATTTGTTTCCCCCTCTTCTTCAGAGTGTTCAAGCGAGTTCTTCCTCTCCCTAACGGCAACTGGAACTCCATCGTGGACGACTGGTGCTGCCACCCCGACCCCTTCGCTAAGAAGCTGCTGCCCCGAGCCGAGGACTGTCTGCTGGGAGACACCTTCCTCCTCCTCGCCAGAGACAGCAGCTGTGAACACACCCTCACTGTGGAAGAGGCACCTGTTGACTCAGAGGACGGGCAAGATTCAAAGGTTTCCAAAAGTTCCAAATTCCTAAAAAAGTACATTTTATTCAAGGTGTTTATTTGAGATGATTAGATAAGATATATTTAATGCCGCCTGATTGGACAAAATGGTTTTGTTGGAGCAGCATGTCAGAATCAAATCAGGGTTATTGCTTAGCAGGTTTTCCCATACAAGGAATTTGCTTTGGTTTAAAATGGTGTAGTCATACATTAATGTGTTTAAGAGGGATTTTCTTCTAAAAAAGTTAGTAATCAAAATATAACGTCATAAAATATTATTTAAAAAATCTTTACAAGACATTGCACACGAGTTAAAATAATGTAAAAATAAAGAGTATACATATCAATAGTAGAATAGAATACACAATATAAAATATACAGAAAAAGGTCAAAAACACATAGACCAACTTACTACTAAAACAAAAAAAGTATACATATATATCAAGTACGTCTGGATAACAGAATTCTTAGCCACCAGATTATCCGAATTAAATCATTTCAAATAAAATCATCTCTAGCTGGGCAAATTTGATTCACATTCATATCAACAGTATAGACACTTTCCTCAGACGGCTGCTTCAGTTAAAGTGTAGCACTCTGCAGACATAGGATTGATCTCCCTTCTCTTTTAATAGTCTTTCTCTGCACGAGTGATGCACGAGTGATGCGCTCTGCATGACTGAAAGTGAGCTCAAAAGAACGAGAAGCAGATGGAAAGAGCCGGAGAACAAATGATAATATGCACACCAGAACTGTCCCTCTTACTTTCCTGCCTTCCATTCTGGCTAAAGAGTCTATTGATTTTCAAACAATCGAGTTAAAGATGGGTGTAGATTCTGGTGAATGATTGTCAGTTTCTTTACTTCTATAGAAGACATGCCGCCGAGTGGCACTGGTCTCCTGCAAGAGCTGCTCATCAGTGCTGGGAGAGGCTGTAGCACCAGGTATATACCTCTATACATCTATATCATCACAACTTGTAACTGTGTAATGAGCTTTTTTCTATTGTATCTTATAGAGACGGTGAAACTGTACATCACACAGGTGGTGGTGGAGCGAGCAGAGGGAGACAGAGAGCCAGAAACTTCACTTAACAGGTTTGTATCCAAATTCCTAGTAATGACATTTAGGAAACAGCCTGTTAAAGGGGCCCTATTGTGCTCCTTTCAGGTTCATATTTGTATTTTGTGCCCCTTAAAGTCTCCATGCTTTAAAGGTCCCATGTCATGGCCATTTCTACTGATCATAATTCCATTGTTGAGGTCTACTAGAATAGATTTACATTGTGCAATTTTCCAAAATCACATTGGTTTCTCAAACAGCATCTCTGTATAGTATGTGTATTTACTCTGTCCTAAACGGCTTGTTGGAGCTCCTGCCCCCCCCTCCCTGTCAGCCCAGTGGCCGTCTGTGAGACAGCGAAATCCAGCCCGAAACACACACACACACCCCGCAGCCTGGCTGGGAGTTTGTGTGTGTGCTCAGGCTGAGTTCCGCGCTGTTTCGCCAACCCGACACCAGTGAGCCAGCTCACAGTGTCCAGCTCCTCGCAGCAGCGAGCCTCGTAACGTCCCGCCGAGTGTGTGTGTGAGAGGAAGTCCGCGGATTGGTCCAAACGTAATGGCTCCGCGGACGTAACGTTACGTCACGTCACTATACCCGAAATACGTCACTATACCCAAGAAGTAAACAATGGAAAAAGATAAATGTCCAACGAGGCGTTCGGGGGCAGCATAGACAGGTCTTTTCTGTGTTAGAGTTTTACTCGCTACAGGGTGTACTTTGAAGGTTTGTGACTCTGCAGACCGTTTACATGCAGAAAAAGCTACATAAAACACAAGGGGAGGGGTAATAACCGGAAAAGCATGACATGGGACCTTTAATGTTCAAAAAGCTCTTTATCTTTCTCATGCTGCCTGTGCTGCAGCACCTCTTTTCACTCTATGTCTGAAACCAGAGCCCAGTCTGCTCTGATTGGTTACTGGCCGGCTCTGTTGTGATTTCCTGCCTTTTACATACGATATGTTGGAGCGCTAGCCAATAGAAGCCCAAGTGTATAGTGATATCATTATGTTATGGAAGTAAACAAAGGAGTCCAATCGAGTCATATTGAGTTTCAAAATGTTTTCTTTCAAATGTATTACTTTATTACCTCAGGGTTAATCAGGGTTTCCGTTAGCAGGTAATTACCGTTATTATTCAAAGTTAATGTAAACTTTTGAATAATGTACTTCATCTACTACAAGTAGTTTGTTTGAATGTAATAATTATGTTGTTTGTTGTTTGTGGAATCATTTATTGAAAAATGAATCTGAATTTTTCAATCTGTTACGATTATAAACTGAAGCAATATAAAAATGACCCCATTAACTGAGTTTTAAACATCAGCATATCCGGTCCTAGTCCGGTGATTACCTGCTAACGGAAACTCTGCTGCACCATTCTTATTATTATTATTGAAACATGACGGTAAGTTTCAAATTTGTCCAGTAAAATAAATTCTGTCCGGACATTTGACCGGCGAGAAACAATCCTAGCGGAAACCCTGCTCAGAATATCTATTACATTTATTTAAACATTATAATGTTAATCTTGGAAATTCGGGGAGTTATTTATTCAGGGTTGCTGCCTTATTCAAATATGAGTGCTTTGTTCAACATCATTTAAAACTTTATCAAACATTAAGTTAAATATCCCACAAGCCAATTTTGAATAGTTTATAGATTCACCTAAGCAACAACATTTGTTTTATTCACTATTGAAAACCTTTTAGCCCTTTTTTGAAGCTACCATTCGTGGGCTTTATTGCATTATTTGACTAATGGTACCATTTAAAAAAAAAAAAAAAAAAAAAAAAAATATCACCATAATATGTAACAATTTTTACCATAACCTTTAGTCATTTTATGAATAAGAAAAACACCATGCGATCATACTTTATTAATTCGTCAAACCTCCATTGGGTTTAATTGTGAATGTCTGATCAAGTAGGTGTATTTCTTGTGCTCTTTAAAGACTCAATATGTAACTGAAGGAGCACGGTCTCTCTCTGACAGGTCGCTGTTCCTGGAGAAGACCATCGCAGCCCGGCTGTTGGGGCTGTCCTCCTCGATGAGCACCTTCCACTTCTCCGTTCAGACTCCTGATGGAAAAACCTTCTTATTGGTGAGAACAATAATCATGGCATAATCAGAGAAGCACATGAGTTTGGATTCAAAATAGACCACTACATCTGTCTGATTAATGGGGAAGCGTTATGACGGGTTCTTCAAGCATACTGTAATGACAAGCTGATTGAGTTCAAATCAGTGAACGGATTATTACAAGTGGCTCAACAGTGACTGTGCATCTTTCACTGGGAGTTTGGAGGTTTTATTCCACCACTATTCCAATAATAATGGTGGTATTTGTGGTATTCCACAAATACTTGTCTTAATTGTCCATCACACTTTTAACTGTATGACCTTAGGAAAATACAAATATAACTTTTACATTGTTTTATTTAAATAAACAGTTCTGACCCTAGGACTTTTGAAGTAAAAAAATCAATGCGACAATTAAAAATCAAATGAATTATGAACACTGTTATTACTTCTTCTTTCATGTGCCCTTGAGGCAGGTTCTGTTTCAAATGTGAAACGACCCAATTGCAAACTTCAAATGACCTTTCATGCCTTAAGATGTCTTTTTATTAGCATCTTAAATTACCTTTATGCTTTTTAAATGTCTTTATTAGTGACTTCAAATGACGCTTTATGCCTTAAAATAACTTTTTATTAGTGATTTCAATGACCTTTAATCGCCGTAAATGTATGTTTATTTGTGATTAAATGACCTTGTGTCTTAAAATAACTTTTATTAATGATGTAAATTACCTTTTTATGTCCTTACATTTCCTAGTGATTTAAATGACCTTTAACGCCTTTAAATCCCTTTTTACTTCTAATTTAAATGTCTTTTATGCCTTTTTTAAATCTCCTCTTTTTTGGTTGTAGGCTTTTTTTTATGAATGGTATCCTTTTACAGCAACACTAAGCCCTTTCCCTTTTCAAATACTCTTTTAATAATTCCTTATGTGTTACCTTTTCATCATTTTTCAAAATGTAAATCAGAATACCTTTATCAGTCCCACAGAGGGGAAATGTACGTAGTTACAGCAGAAAAAAGAGCCACAGATAGCTTAATGTTACATAATGTTACATGCATTAAAAAGTACTAAGTTATGATATAATACAAAATATAATACAAAAAAAGTTACACAATTTACAAAATACACACCCTGTAACAGTTTTAAGGATTTAGCAGCCAGGTATATATTAGTTATTAACGGCATATATATATATATATTCAGGGTGTCCGCAGGGTCTTAAAAAGTATTAAAAGTTGATCTATCAATTTAGCGAAAATTAAGGCTATTAAAAGTATTAAACGGCATTTTCCAAGGTATTACATTTTGTAGCTTGTTTTCAATAAGTATATAAATTGTCCAAAGAGGTTGTATTCTACAGTCTGCCTGAATGTAATCATTGCGTATGTGTAGTGTGATTCTGTGTAGTTTATTTATGGCATCCCGTTGGATTTGACGTCATCTGAACAGGACAGCGCACACTCACTGCTTGATAGTGCGTGAATGTCCGTTTACGCCGGTTGTTAAACAACATCGTTACGGGGAAATGCAAGTCTGCGTCCAAATGGTTAGAAGATAAGGAGGAAGGACAATCCATACTGTATATAGTCAATGTGAGGTAAAGTGTGCCGCCAATGTAACCGTAAAATATATGGAAAGGGTCTTAAAAAAGGTCTTGAAAGGTCTACATCTGACTTCAGGATTCCTGCATATACCCTGATATTGCACATATAGCACATATTGCACATAGTTGGTTGGCATTTAACAGCAAGGGGTGTTATAGTCTGTGCACTTTAAGCTGTATATCTTGAATGAAAGGTGCTATACAAAAATGTTTTGCATTATTAAATGTTAACAGCTGAGGAAAGATGCAACATTTAGCATATTTGCACCAAAACATACTGAAGAATATCGTGTTAGAGGCTCGTCTTTAAGGAAAACTGTTCTTTAAAAAAAAGTAAAATATATAAGATCATGTGTATAAGACACTCTAAGCCGCTGTGCACGCAGTTCATGTGGTGGAGTGCGATTCCTCTGCCCTCTGGCATGTGTATCTGGAGTGTTTAGTGACCCGTCTGCCCCTCCTGCAGCTCTGGCTCCTGAACAGCGACTCCATCACAGCGTCGGTCCCGGAGACGTGTGTGGGGGGGGAGAGCTCTGTTGAATCCCTCTCTCCTCACAGTCCATCACCTACAGCTGCCACAGTCCTGAAACTCCTCTACACCTCCTGCTCCGACACAAGCACCCAGCACAGAGAGTAAGCGAGCACTCTCACTCCACTCCCCCTCTTCATTCTTTGTTTTCCCCTTTCTTAATCTTTCATCTCTCCGGCGCACCTTCTCAATCACCACCTGCGAAGGAGGAATTGTTTGTGATCAGATTTTCATTCTTAGAACACTGAGGGTCTCTGTTCAGACATAATTGTCTATTATTTTTGCGAATGAGATTGCCATCAAAGGTGTTTATCGTCTGGATGTTGTCAGTTGCATAAGCCTGTGTTTGTTGCACACACACAGGGGATGTTGTTTTGACGGGAGCAAGGCTCTGTGTACCTTGCTGTGAAGGATTAGAGAGGTGTGGGTGGATGTGCCGCATGTGGTTCTCCATGTTCAGTACAGCAGCACGCCACTGGAAGAGCTTTACCCCCTCATTATTTTCAACTGAATCAGCACTCCTCCTCCTCCTCCTTTTCTCTGCTGCCGCTGAGAGTGAAGGCAGAACAGAGAAGTTTGGTTGTTCCTACAGTTTTTGACAAGCCCACTGGCTGACTGACGCAGAAAGGGTAATTAGAGGAATAACTCTTTTGAAAGGAGAAAGGCTTGTCTTGGTAATCAAAGAACTACGAGTGCATTTAAGTGACACAATAGCTGAGTGATCCAAGTAAAAATGTTTCACCAAAGGGGCATGCTGGGTACCGAGAGAGACTTCATGCTGGTAAACGAGACAACTTTGAACTGGAGCACTGCTCTTTTTTATACAGCCGGAATATGAAATGATCTCCTCTGAAATTCAGGTTTTTCTCTTATTGTGTGAGTTATCTCATAGAGGGATAATTGTAACCCTTGCCAGAAATGTTTTACATCCACCGTTTACATTTCCGATTTACATGGAAGTCCTTCCGTGCCAGTAAAGAAAAAAGTAGGCATAAAAACGTAGTCTTGAGATGAAAGAAAAGATAATGTAAGTCATTAAAATGCAAAAACTTCCTCGAAACAACGACTTCGCGCGTTCACACTGGAGTACTTTTCCCCGTACTTTTCCCGTTTAGTTCCGATAGTGCCTGGAATTTTGCGTTCACACAAAAAGAGTACTTAGTTCCGAGAGCTTTTACCCCCATTTTTAGTGCCTGCTATAGAGGTGGTACTATCCTGGGGAGAGAAAAGTACCAATTTCAATTGGCTGGGCGAATTGCAAACCACGCCCCGTAAAACTCAGAAAAGTTTTGTGAAGCCGCCATTGTATTTGCTGGCATTAGCATTAGCCCCGCGCACCAACGGAGAGAGAATAACTTATGGCAACACAAAAAAAAACATGGGAGTGGTGGAGTGAAGAGGAGGTGTCGGCGTTCTGACGATTTACTCGGACTCCCAGCAGCTTCTACTGAAGCCAGCCCCCAACTCCGGGGACTTCCGGCCGGCAGTATACGCCGTGAAGTTGTTTGCGGCCTGACAGTAAACCCAAAGCAGAAGAAGTGACGTCAGGGGCTTCATTTCGTTCTTATCAGCGCCGTATAGATAGAATATATAATATAATATATATCTATTATACGGCTCTGGTTCTTATTATACATCCATGCTTCATTTGCGTAATATAGAGTGGCAAAGTCCCTCCCCTTCCGGTGGACCTCCATGGGACCTTATTTCGAAAACAATTATGTTATTGGAGAGAGAAAGATTATCTTTATCCCGTTTGAATTGTGCCACGAATTACAAATATGATGTTTGTCAATTTAAAAGATAATTTTGCAAGTCAAAAAAAAAAAAAAAGTGTCGTAAAACTGTGACGTAACACATTTGTTTGTGTGAAATGCTCAATGAACCAACGGCCATCTTGGTGACGTGTGTTGTTCTGCGAGACCAGAGATGTACTCTGGTCTCGCAGAACAACACACGTCACCAAGATGGCCGTCACTACTGTCTTGTCAACAAAACGATTGACTAGCCTCACTATCACCAGAATGAAACACTTCCAGAAGAATGTCATGCAAAGCTTCCTGCCTGCCTTCCTTTGATTCTCTCTGAACTGCCTGGTCTTTTTAATGTTTAATGTCAACCATTTGTGCAGATAGCATGAAGTAGAAAAGATCGGCGATCGCCGATGCTAGCGTTAGCATTTCTCCCCGGGCTTAAATTGTGAAAAAAACAGTCGCGGGTACACTGTCAGTGTACCCGCGACTGTTACAATGAAGGCTCGATAAATCAGCTCACGGCATATAGGTGTAAGCAGGGGTAAAGTGCTATTTTTATAAGTGGGGAGTTGGGAGTTGACCTAACATAGGGGGGTCCGGGGGCAAGCTCCCCCAGGAAGATTTATTTCTAAATATTGAAGTTAAAAGCATCAATCTGGTGCACTTTGAGAGCAAAATGAAGAGATCTATGGATACATCTCTCAACATCCATATGAAATAAACCTGGAAACAGATTTACTTTTTCTTTATGGATATTTTACAAATCACCCTTTTAAACTTTATTCTTTTTTTACTGTCATCTAGTATTTCATACCTGTTTTTCATTTATTCTCTTATTTTTTTATAACTATAATGATCATATAAACGTGTGCCTCGGAAATAATTGTTTACATCAAAACGTTCGAGACCCACTGATATAACTTAGACTAAAGTTAACTATCTAAACACTCAGAGTCCTTTAGTTCACTGAGCCTCTCAGTCTGACAGGAGAGGACTCTCTCCACTTTGTAGGTGAAAAAATTCCTTATATCCATTAGCGTAGCTCGCTAGCACCAGAAGCTAACAACAACAATCTCCGGTACCGGTGCGCTCTCTCTCGCTCACGCATGCACACAAAATGGCTCGTTCCACACACACACAGAGCCAAGCTTTAATGAAACACAGAGACCCATATGTAATAGTACTGTACTGTATCATATTATTTTCGAATCAATGTTTCAAATTATGATTTTTTTTTTTTTTAATGACCATTTTTCCTACTGGACTCTCGTGCCCGCCCTGTCATGCCTCTGCACCCCCCACTTTGAGAACCTCTGTTTTAGTTGCATATTTTTCATAGTCTTATATTTCAACAGTTTTACGACAAACTGTGACTTTTTTGACATGGAAATTATTTTTTAAGATTGACAAACATCATATGTGTAATTCGTGGCACAATTTAAACGGGATCAAAAGATAAGTTTTCTCTCTCCATTGACTTCAATACATTATTTTTCCGAAATAAGGTCCCATGGACCGGAAGTAGATGGGCGTGACTTCGCCACTCTATTCCCTCAGGGAACTTATTCCGGTGTGTACGCGACCTGTACTTAGACCCCATTTACACGGGAACGTTTGCGTTTACACGAGACCGCTGGAAACCCCTTCTGTTTATTCTCCGCGGTGGACGGCGTGTTCTCCTGCTGTATATCTCTCCGGTAGTCCACCAGCAGGTGAAAAACACCCACCTCTCCGCCTCTTCCAAGGGACAAGGGATCCGTGCGGCAGAGTTTCCGTTAACATTTTTTTTTCGCCGGTCAACATGTCTGTTAAAGTTTAAATCTTCCGGACAAAATTAAAAAACTGCCGGTCAAAGGTCTTCTTTGTTATTTATTGAGCTTTAAAACAAATTGATAACGACTCTATATAATAATAATAATATAATAATAATAAACGGAGCCTCTCTTTTCCTTCCCCCTCTTTTGACAGCCCAGCAGCTGATCTCTGAGCCAGTGTTAATTTCGTCAACGATAACTATGACGAAAAATGTTTGTCAACGACCTTTTTTACATGACTAAGACGAGACGATGACGAGATAAAAATAGCTTCTTGATAACGAAAACTTTGACGAAATGTATATTTAATTTTCGTTGACGAGACGGGACTAAGGTGTTAATGGTGGACTATCGGACATTCAAAATGCAGGGTATTCAAAAAGTCTGTTCTAAAAGGCAGAATTCCAGGTAAGAAAATCATATATGGCATTTGCCATTACACATATTTAATTTAAATGTATGTTAACGCTAGAACCGCCAACAGCGTCGGCACCTACATAGATATCATTTTCAAATCATTGAATTTGTTCCTCTTCATAATTTCCTTATAAACTACTGTAAGTAGGACGATTTAAAACTCACTTAATTGGGTTCATTTTGAAATGGCTTCAGTTTATCATCATAACGGATCAAAAAGTTCAGATTCATTTTACAATAAATCAAAGAATGATGCACTTCTACAAACAAAAACAACATAATTAAAACATTTAAAGGTGGGGTAGGTAAGTTTCAGAAACCGGCTCGAGATACACTTTTTGTTATATTCCATGGAATGCTCTTAACATCCCGATAGCAATGAATATCTGAAGTGCTTTGACAACAAATCCATAAAAAAATGTCATCTGTAGAACCCGTAATACTGTAAAAAGTACAACCAATCCGTTTAGCCGGGCTAAACGGATTGGATTGCCGCCCTGTCTGTCAGCCTTCCATCTCGTGCACGCACAAATGTATCTCGTGTCCTCATTGGGCGTGCCGTCATTGGGCGTGCATTGCAGCAGTACTTCAATGACTCGCCAGCAACAGGCGGCCACTTTCACCAGTCTGCTGACGTCATGTGCGCGTCCATGTATGTTGGAGGAGGTGCTCTGTAAGGAAGTCTGAAGGAAGGGGCGGATTCTTTTCGGCTGTGTACTTTCAAATGTTAGTGCACTCGAGCCGGTTTCTGAAACTTACCTACCCCACCTTTAAACAAACTACTAAAAGTAGATGAACTACATTATTCAAAAGTTTACAGTAACTTCTGATAATAACACAGGGGAAATAAACGAGGCATCTCTTTTCCTCTCTCTCCCTCTCCTGACAGCCCGTCAGTATCAGGGTTAGTCAAAATGAATCCCTTGGAGGTTCTAGTGTTCATTTACCGTTTTGTCTTCTCTTTGCAATGCTTAATCGATATGAAACCAAGTCTAACGTAGCTTACACTTAACGTTAGCTTTCTAGCTAACACAACACATGCACGCACCTTCCTCTGTGGGTTTTTTTGTGGTGACGAATGAAGTTGGATGTTGTGGTGGTCGTGTCACTGATCTTTAT